ATAGTGTGATGGAAGGTGGTACAAAGAGAGCCACGGCTAGCGTACGCTTCAAGAATAGGGCCCATCCAATCAGAGGCGCAGACGTAGCAGCTGAAAGTGCTTCGCGAGACAATGTCGGCTACCACTCGAAACTAACGAATCGACAATTACAGCCCGACGGACAATCCGCATCTAGCCAGAAAGATATCCGTCGACTGCCACAACGTCGGAGCGGTCAATCAACGTATCTCGCACTACGATCGAGTCAAACCAGTCGGAACGGTACGCGGAAGAAGAGGCAACGTACGTGCAAAGTGCGGATCAAAATCAACAGGGATCGACCAACGGGATGAGGCATGAATCATCCTACCGCATGGTTAAGAATTGATTGTATATAATTGAACGTATACACCAGTTGTTTTTTAATTGAATCAGGCAACTCGCCTTCTAGTTACAGTAGAACAACATAGCACAATACACAGAGAAGCTCGTGTTTGATTTTTTTGAGAATGAAGACGCGCTAACGTCACCAAATTATCACCCCGGGGACCTGGATACGAATCCGATCACCACCGCCTGAATTTCCCCAGTGTGTGTATTATATGGCAACCCTTTGGTTGGCCTCTTCCTTGTTCCTCAAATCTGTATCATTATGTATTCATTAAAAGGAAGTAAAACAGGAGAAACAAAAAATAAACATAATATGACACCTTTCGCAGACAAAAATGGAAAATTTATCGTGGTTGAAGACTCCAATTCTCCGAGAGTAAATGGGTAAATAAAAATGACTGTGTAGATAATTTGAAAGAAAGCCGCCCCTTGAACACATTGCGTGTTAAGTAACTTATGCAGTGTAATAATCGATTCAAGAAATGATGAGCTGGACAAAGTTCCATTCAGTTGAACGCGTTCATAACAAAAGATTTAAACGATGTGCTACATTTAAACATTGAATTGCTATTTGTGGGAACAATCAAGTGCTCATTTGAAATTAAAATCTGAATTAGGGAATTACCTGTGCCGGCGCGGGAAAATCAATAAAATTACAAAAGCGAGAACTTGTTAGAGAAGACAGGAAAACTAGCGATGATAACCTACAGTCCTGACGGAGGCGAACCACGTGTAACCTTGATTACTAGTCAAATCAGCGGTGTAATCAGCAAAACAGACAGGGGTCCCCCTGGTAGTAAGGTAGGGCTGAGAAGGCCCACAGCAGAAAGAAAAAAAACATGAGATAGGTGCATCGGCTAAGGTGGTCAGTATTTGGTGACAGCCAGAGGAGTCGATAGGGGGCAACGGGGCAGCAGAGCGCTCTAAAAGATCAAACATGTCAGAAAATACACAAATAGACATAAAAGCTCATTTTAATTATGGTGAGTTGAAAGCGGAAATTCCAAAAAAGTCTTAGAATTCAAGAAACTGAACGAGAACAAGAAGCGGGAAGGCGGAATTTCTCCCTGTATACTTTAATAGGTACGGGTCAGAGTTGTACCCCGAGGACCGCAAACAGGCCGCAGTCAACAACACCATCGTCGTACAGAGAAATAAATGAAGCAAAATTAGCGGATCGCTACTAAGCTCACAATGCACACAAGGGAATGTACAAAGTAAACAGGGATTGGACCTATTTTGAGGGAAGGGGACGAAAGTGCACTTACAAGGTTACCACATGGATTACACAATCTAACTTTGCAAACATACGTTTTAAAGCATTCTAATCTGATAATGAATGACACTAGCAACGTCACTGCTGTTGGTTCCCTGCCATATGCTTTTGTGTCCCTAACAGCCTGAAAAGTGGGAACCACTACTCTATCTGATCGCTCTGGGCATTTCTTTATACCTCGTCTCCATGTCATCGGTTGATCTGCACGTGATTTATTCCAACCTGGAGCATCCATCGCAAATAAGGATCGGTGAGGTAGACAACAGCTTGGAATGTGCAATACGTTGCCCAATCTGCAAAGCCGATTAATCTGAATTCGATGTGATTACAAATAGAGATAGGGTTGCCAAGTCCAAATCAGAATGATGACCAAGTCCTGCTGTTGACACAAGATTGGTTTCCATCGGTTGATTGCAAACGCCTCGGCGAATTCAAAATGCTGCACACTCTGAGGGCAAAATAATGATACTGGCACTCCCTTAGACAACTTGAAGCAATAATTTAAAGAGATGCTCCGTGCGATGCACAGAGAATGTGCATGATTGGACGTAATCACTTTGCAGCCATGGCTTTTAAACTATGGGTTTTCAATGTGCAACCGAGTGTAAAGTGAAAACAAAGGTAAGAACAGCTTTGTTTGAAATCTATGAGAGACACTTCGCAGTAAATGGAGAGTATATGGAGAGGTTGTGGACAACCTCCTATTGCAGTTCATTGAGCACCAAGATTAAGCTTCTTCGAGGCATGTGGCATCTGTTGATGCCAGAGGAAGCATTGAAACCATTGTTTGGCGTAGGACCGTAGAGTTCGATATGTTCCATTTAATGCCATCCTCAATTAACCATTGGTGAGCTGCTCTGAGCGTTCTTTAAAGTGCCAGGGAACCCTTAAGTCGCGTAATTTTATTCCGAATTTTGGGGTTATCTGTGAACCGCGTGGTTTGTGGGCCCAGAACGTTCGACAAATCATTTATAAAGCGAGGTAAAGACAAGTTTCGGGCACGGATCCAATGGAATCACACTGATTAAACCTGAAAGTGCATCAGAAAGTCTAACTAGTATGGTGTGCTGTGGAAGAAAATCTTCTTTCCAACACAACTATAGTCCTCAGATTCTACAACAGCAGGTTTTCCGGAGCACTATTTCACCCGATCAGATACTTTGTCAAAACCCCGCTATTCATTTCTTTCGGACCGGAAACGGACTAGCGAAAATGCGCGCTTTTGCCGAAACCCCTTTTTAGCTGGGATAAATGTTTTGTATCTCTAGATGATCCACAATGAAGTTTGAAAGTACATATTCATTGACGAGGGAGAAAGAAGAGGGTGATAGCTAGTTTAGAATCCACGACATTCATCTTTCTTAAGAGGTAAAATCGCTCCTTTTTTACCAGGAATCAAGGAGCACAGTGCTCGCAACCATTCGTTGACGTAGTCCTCTTAGTGGGTCAGCTTTCAATTACCACAGTGATTCGGACTTGTGCATGTATGATCTCTGTACATGAAGATGAACTGCTTTTCAACGCAAACGGTTTCAATTCTCGTCTTCTCTGGAGGTATGTAGGGTAACTGCCGTTATTGTAGGATGTAAAACAATATATATGTTGACTGTGGCAGCCCTAGCCCTACGGTAGCAGGCACCGAGAACATTTGAGTATTAATTGGTGCATCAATTTCTATTCACCCGATAACTTGATGCAGGAATTTCTCATTATGTTATAGGTATGTCACATAAACTATTCATGCTCTCTCTAGCAGGAGCTCCTGTGCAGAACGCACCCTGCTTCAGTCCACTGGAACTATGCGATTTTTTGCCACACGCACAACTATAAAATGCTTAAAGGATGTCACAATCACGACAAAATCTGTGGGGTGGTCTGTAGATTCTCGCAAGGGATAACAGAGGACTACAGTGCTTGTAGAGAAAAACCCTCCAGTACATTGCATCAGAATGTTAAGTTTTGTATAGTGAGTTATCCATAGAAATTCGTGATAAAGGTACGTAGCAGCTGTAGTTAAACGACAATCGATAATCTTAAATGGGGCTGTGGTAGCAACCGTTCCCATCATCCAGTCCTACTTTAACTCCTGGATCAAGGTCAATGCTCAGTGATACGTATTCTACGTGGATGGTCCGGTGTATGTAGAATACCTGTAGTAAGAAAATCAGCTTAGTCGAATTCAGAAATTCATACAATACCTACCTTATTTACACGAAGCGCAATCCCTGCGCATAGCAACTTGTTTGTTAGTCTTCAATGCTTTAATACGAATCCTAGTCACATTGTGCCAAACTGATGGTGAGAATGATGATGACAAATAAATCGTGCAGGATCTTTATCGTAATCTATCAGGGGAAGCCTAACCTTTCCTTGAGAACTCTGAAGGTTTGAATTGGATCAGGAACATCCGCCACCGTCTTGGCGTTTTCTTGAAGGTCCTGGATGCGTAGTCGTGCCTGCTCTCCAGGAACACCCTCGTAACCCCGATTCCAGACAAATGTCCATAAATACCGCACATATCTCCCCTTCTCGATCCACGTTTGGCTGACACTACCTAGGAAGTATTGGACTGGTGCAACTATCTTTTAACTGGGATGGTTGGGATACGCGTCGTGGAGACACATTCGGGGATGGTTTCGGCGAGACAACTAAATACAAATAGCTTTTAGTCATTTCTCTATCGGCCACCGGTAACCAATCCGTCCAATACTTCTTCTTCGTGTTATATGTATTTCAGTTGCTTGTCCTGTACAACAGCTGCCAAATATCGGGAAACATTTTCCATAATGAAACAAGGAATATGGCAGTTAATTACGCTGCTGTTCGAGATTGGAATTTTGTCGGCATAAACGAAATTTATTGCTAGACAGCTTCATAGTCTATCACTACGCCTATCTCACAGAGGCCTTGTGCAAGTCGCTATTCCAAGTCCGGGGGACTTAGAATGCTGGTTGACGTAAATTAACATCAGGCTGTCCGGATTATTGTTTACCACAAAACGGTGTTGAGAGCAAGAAACCCTAATTGAGATTCGTGTTCATTTGAGAGCTATCACGTTCGGTGTCACAAACCACTTTTCGAGGTTCACCCAGTGCATTCCGACAATAAATCAATCAATCATGAACTGCGATGGACCAGATCAATATAGCAGAAGAGATGCAGACATTTCGAAGCACATCACTGAATCCATGCTAAGTGCGTCAAGTGCACCCGTCATTCAGACTTACCCCCAATGGATGCGTGGTGAGTTATACATCCACCGGGGTCGGAGTTCCGCTATCATTTGACACATCCGCTTACTCACCGAGTGAATTCGAACGCGCTTCTGTTAACACCATTTTGTGATAAAAAAAAAATGCGACTGGCTTTGTGGATTTTGTGGACTGTTGCGTTTCTGGTCCTACAAATTGCAGACGGAATTCATGCCGGACACAACTATTACGGTCTAACTTCCGTAAACACTGGAATGCGACACAATTTTATAGAACAACGAACCCGACAAATTCCAATGGATCCGTACAATCGGGGACTGTGGAATCGTGTTCCCATGTCCAGTCTGGAATCGAGAGACAGAATGTACCACTTCAGTCATGTCCATTAAATAAACTGTTGACACAATACGAACGTTTGTGCACGAATGACCGGTTTCCTGGCTTGCGCTTTTCTGTGACGTGAGCAGCCCGTACAGAACCGAAGCCAAACAAAAAAACAGTCGTTCTCTCACCAATTTGAAACGGTAATAAGGGTGGTGGTTGTTATTTAGGAATACCATCTAACTTGTAGTTCTGAATTAAAATGGGGTTGGGAAAAGACCACACAGTAAGACTGCATACTGTTTCCTTATTAGTAGTTTTATAATCCTCCTGACACCATACACTTCGACTGATGCTAAAATATCGGTTAAAACTAGTTGAGTGATTTAAGTGAAAGTTGATTTTTGTTCACACCCTATACAGTATATTGATCTTTTTTACTGCAATGAAACTCTCAATATATATATACCCTTTCAAAAAGTGACAATTCCTTGTGACATGTTTTCTGGGTCAGTTGAGAATATGCAACACTTAGACCTTAGCAGCTATAATCCCTGTACGTAAAACCTGATCAACCCTTAGATTTTATGAAAGGGAAAGTTCCACAGATAATGTTTACCAGTTCAAAGTGAATATTCATTATTATTATTATTATTTTCACACACGTCTGAATCAATACTGTGTGCCAAACAAGTCATAGTACAATAATCTTTATGAAAAACGAAGACGTTCCATGATTTTCATGTGGCGGAATACTGCCAGGTTGCCCAAGCCAAGGCAGGTGCATTTTCTTGAGGAATCAATAACCGGA